ACAATATATATTTATATAACTATTTAGATACAAACTAATGAAAATTTGGTATCTAGGTTAGTGACAATGTTGTTTTCTTAATGTATAATGTATGGGGAGGATGAGTTCGATTCTAAGCATCTTCATTCTTAGACGTAACATGTGTATTTCTTTTTTATATATTATAATTAACTAATTGCTTATATATGTATATTAAATGTTTGAAAAATGTTCTATCAAATCCATATACTCTAAATATTTGAAATATATATGTATATTAAATGTTTAAAAAATGTTCTATCAAAGTCACATACTCTAAACCCGACAAAAGTCGATCCAACCCGCCGATCCAACCTAAACCCAATCCAAAATTAGTGGGCTGGGTTGAGATTTTCAACCCTTTTAAGTTAAATAGATCAACCTGTTTAACTCATTTAATTAAATAGGCTGGACTTGATAAAAATATCAACCCATTTTTAACCTACCAACCCATTTAACTCTAATATATATTGAATTTAATAATTACTTAAATAATGTGATGTATTAATCAAATTATTAATTTATAAATTATAATGTAGTATTATTATTTATATTTTAAAAACATGAAATCCTAATTCAAATCATTTTTCTTAACGATAACAATACTAGCCAGTATTCAAAACCACCTTGAAATTAAACAATTTTAATGTTATTTGAATAATTTATTTATATTTTTGAATTGAGGTTGTATTTTTGTCATACCTTGAAATTTTATTTATGCTTGGAACTAATTTAAGTGTATAATCTTTAGTTAATTTATTTACTTTTTTTATTTTAAATAACCCAAAGTTAACCAATTTTAAATTTATTTAATAGGTTGGACTGAAAACCTTAACCAACAAACCAACTGTTTCTTTGTGTTTGTAAGTGGATGAATGCATTATATACATTATACCGTATTTTTTAGGGATACGTAAACAAAAATTATACTACCGAAAAAATTTTGAGAGGTATCCCTGGATCCCTTTGGATCCGCCCCTGGCCATGAGACACAACTCTTGTGACACTTAAAAAAAAAAAAAAAATAATAAAATAAAAAAAATAAAATAAAAGTAGATTACGTGGACACAAACCCAAAAAAACACCTTTTGTCTACTTTAAAACGGTTTGCTTAGATCACCCAACGAACAACTATGATATTGCTCATTGAGTTCGTTGCTAGATTACAAACAACTCATCCCTTTTATTCCACAAAGTTGCACATTTATTATCAAAAAGTTCGAAGTCTTAGCAGGGTATTAATTTCTTATTTCATAGGAAGGACGGATTCCCTAAATCTATAACAAAAAAACAACCAAATCTATGGAGTGCCTTCTAGTATCAAAAGTCAAGAGGTGGACAAGATTTACCATCACCAAGATCAAGAATGGTATGGCTTTCTTCGCATGCATGCATACATACATACATACATAGACATGTTTGTACAAGTATGACCCAATTTCTTATGCTAAAATTGTAAAAAAATTAGTCAGTATATACCATAGAGCATCTAATTTCAAATTCGTACATTTAAAGTTTTCTAGTTAAGGAATCTATTCTTGTTGCTAAGAAAAACATTAGGAGATTTTTTTTTTTTTTGTCAAACAAGATATTGTGAGGTACATGGTCCAAGGGGCATCAACAGAACTTAATGAAATTTATTGGATTGATGCATTATTATTTTAATTTTTATACAACTTTACCAAAGATTTTCTGCAATGCATTATTTGACTCTATAAATTCAATTGAATATATTTATAATAATTAAATTGTTTATTTTTTCATTAAAGAGTTTAATGTGGAGTAAACCCTATATCCAATGACTGCAAGCATGATATTGGACTATTAGTAGAATTTAATCTATTGAATACCACTTTGACATTGATATTTCGTTAAACTATTTCTTTGAATTAAGTATATATATATATATATATATATATATATATATATATATATATATATATATATATATATATATATATATATATATATATAGGTTTCGTTGAGATTAAAAATAAAATAGAGATCTCGAGATTCAACCTCAGCCACGTATTTCACATCTACCACTCTAACCCTTTGGCGTACCGGTGCGGCAGGTCTGGTGTAATCATAAATGATTACACAATGCCACCCGTTCCTTTCTCGTCTGCCACCATCCCCACCACCGTAACCGCCACCGCCACCACCACTACCACTACCTCTGACACCAGTCGACCCCACCATTATCACCTCCATTACTTATACCACCGCCACCTCTGTCACCACCACCTCTTCTGCGATTAACTGTAATAATAATTTATGATTACTCAATTTGTGAACAGATATATATGTATAATCATTTATGATTATGTATATACGTATAAACATGTATAATCATGTATGATTATACCTCTCTGCCATATAATCATTTATGATTAGGCATACATCGTTGCTGCTGGTACGCCGAAGAATTAGAGCGGTAAATACGAAATATGTGGCTGAGGTTTAATCTCAAGATCTCTACTTTTTTTTATTCTCAAGTGAACTATTATATATATATATATATATATATATATATATATATATATATATATATATATATATATATATATATATATATATATATATCATTTATGTTGTATAATCTAGTTCCATCATATCACTATATATATGTTACGAAAGTTTATATGTTTCCAGTGAGAGGATTAATGTGCTTAGTGATTTTTTGACACAATCTTAAAAGACAAACACAATTTATTTCGCTAGTTTTGATCATATGCATGGTGCATAAACTTGAAAATATCAAAAGACAACAATTTTTATTTCACTAATTTTGATTTCAGATAAGGAACTCAAAGAATGTAAGAGAAGCATAAACGTGGATGACGAATATCAAGAGGTATTAAGAAGCAAATCTTTTATCGATGTTTTCTCAAAAGCCCAATTACTTGTAGAAGATCGGTCATCATCTATGGCACAATCCTATCTTCATCACAGAGTTCTCCTCGAACCTAATCAAGAAACCATAGCTACGATTCTTGAATCTAGAACCATTTCAAAAAATTATAATATGAAAGTCCTCATACGCGACTACTTTGATGTTAGTTCTGAAGCATCAAAAATATGCATTGAGATCCTGAAATCTATCATACAAGTTCGATCCAACTATGCATCAATTCAACAAATTCTCAATATCGTCCTTCAAGATTGTCCCCATCAATCAAATGTTGCCAATGATTCAAATATATCTAATCTCATTACCCACAACAATCCATTCTTTAACATCAGCAATAAAGATTTTGAGGTGATAAGCGAAAAATATTCATCGGCTTTACATAAGATGAAAATAAGGAGGAGAAAGGTAGATAGGAAGATAAAGCTCATAAGTTACTTCAACAAAGCTTCAGGAATATGCTTGACTGCAGTTGGTGGTTTTCTTGCGGTCACTGCCATGGCTTTAGCAGCCCACACCCTAACTGCACTTGTCATGGGACCAATGATCTTTAGCCTACCCTTGAAGTCATTAAAGAAGAAACTTGGAGGTTTACAGTTTCTCCAAAGCAGGCTTCTGAGGAGAGCTGCAGATCAGCTTGATGTCGCAATGAAGGGTGCATATATTTTGAATAGGGGCTTTGATACAATAATTCGTCTTGTGAATGGTCTTAATGATGAAATTAATCGAAATCGAAAGATGATAGAGTTATGTTTGGAAAGGGGTCGTAGGGAAGATAAGATTTGTTTGCAGATTTTTAGGGAGGTTGAGAAGAGTCATGTTTGGTTTAGGAAACAAGTAGACGAGCTTGAAGAGCATGTATATATGTGCCTTTTGAGTATCAATAAGGCTAAAGCATTGGCGATCAAGGAATTGTCGAAGTCTTGTGAAGAGAAGGCCATACAAAACTCAGAAGTCAGAAACGAAATTATGTCAATAAAAGAAATTATGGACTAAATAATTTTATCTAGAGACAATGACCATAATAACCATTTTTAATTTTTTTTACCATAAAATAGCTACAAATGAAAAATAACCAAAATATCCATAATATTTGCAGGTGGTCCAACTGCGAAAATGTAGATTTTCATAGTTACCAGCAGTTTTTTTTGATCTTTTTGCAAACTTCAAACCTTCCTAAGCACTTTTTCGTACTAACACCGCTTGAATTAATTCTTTTTCGTTGTATTTGTAACAAGGGTTTTCCATAAACATATTACATTAAAAATTTGGGTCCAAAATAGGCTAGTCAGTGAATAATAATAATAATAATAATAACCCGGCTTTGATCATTCATAAATTTGCATACAAACTTCGTTTCAATTGATTTTTCTTCGTTATACATGTTATGTTTAACAAAAGGTTTTCTGTTGACATATTACACTCTTGCTATTGATGTAAGAAAATCATATTTTTTTAGTTACATAATAGGCTATTCGATTAAAAAAAATTATTTTGGCATATAACCTTCATAACGATCATTAAAACCATTTGTGTTCTCTCAATCAATCACAAGGCTATCTACAAAAATAAAATAAAAAATATATTTTACGAACTTCGTAACAATCATCACATATTTGGGTTCTCTCTCACACTTATAAAAACCTAAGAAAAAAAAATTGCAATTTTTACAAATGGTTGAGTGTGAAAATAATACTATTTAGGTCTTTTGTCATTGGCTGTTTTATGGTACAAAGTTTTTGCACCTTTCTAATACCTTTTTCAGTTTCTTTTTTTCCTTTTTTTAATTATGGCTCTTTCAGGCTTCTTCTTTTTTTTTTTTTAAATTATACCTCTTATTCTTGCTTTACTCCAAAAACTATATTTTGCGTTTCTTAATTTTTTTTTTTTTTTTTTTATCATTAAGATATGTGTAATAGATTGCCTGTATCTTACATTTTTAATTTCTTAAATATATGAAAGTCATGTAAGCTATGTGTAACCCATAATCTAACGGTTTTTTTTGTCTCGTACCTAAAACAATTTCAGAGCTGCCTTGGCTGTCTAAGAGATTAGCTAATGAAATAAGTGGTTATAATAGTTAATTACAGTTACTCACATATAAATGGGAATGGTGGATTATATAATAAAAGTGACTGCATAATTATATTTCATGTTACAGAGTTTTCTTCGTGAATATAATTAATTTTCTCCTACATAACAACAAAAGTAAAACGAGCACAAGTTGCTGTTTTATTGGTTGCATTTTGGAATGTTACGACTTCTCCTAAGATCTATATGAAAACTATTGATCCAACCACATACCATAACATATAAAGTCAAGTTGTCACTTCGTCATTGATGAGATCCTTTTCTTTAATGAATATCCCATGTAAGCCGTACGGCACTTGTCGAGGTAGTTTCACTGCCGCCACAACCTCTAGAGTGGGTGACCGGGCATCCATTACCAAGAACCTTGACTCACCCGAGTTTTCATCATGCACATAAGACACCACATATCCATCATCCTCTTCTGAGTTGGGATTCTCCGAGTCTCTTGCAATGAAAAATGGTTCGCCTCCGAAGCAGTTATTTCCATATATCCGACTTGCCACAGTGTGCTTATGTTGATCACTTTTGTCTTCTGATGCGAAAATGTCAAGCTTTGCCACCCCTATTGTCCGAATCATCCTCGAACTTATTGGTGTTTTCTCAAAAATTGCTGCATAGACATACCTGCATAACGCCTGATGGTTAGAACAAAATACATATCATTATCAACACAAATTGAAGGTTTTTGCTTACTTGTTTCTCTTTGCAATATAGGCTGGATTGATTACAGGACACTCCACGTTATCAGTCGCCATAATGTGCCTTGAAACAACCCCTGTACCCAAGTTAATCGTTACTTTCTCCATGGATGCTCGCATCAGATCCATTCGTTCAAAGAAATGTTCCACCGACAACATATTTGGTGCCACCAACACCACCACATCTTGGCCATCTTTATCCCTCTCATCCCATGCATTTACTACATGAAATATATTCAATCCTGGCACCTCAAACCACATCATGTCGGATTCATCCTTTGCATATCGCTGAAGAATACCGATTCTTGAAACCTTTTTTGGGTCTACACTTAGTAGCCGACGTCCACGTATCAAGTTCATAGGATCTGCTCCAAGTTGAATATCAAAGATGACTGCATACTTTTGGGTGATAGCCAAGTCATGAGTTAAAGATGGGTGTTTCATGGAAAAGATGGGGACTTCAGGTTGCTTATTTCCGCATGCATCAATGCGAAAGTAAGTCAGATATGGACGTGTTGCCCAATAACGAAATGCGAAAGTCTCTTTAGTCTCTGGATCAGTCTTTGGGTGAGCCGTCATGTTCATGGAAAGCTTACCATGAAAATCATGGCGACCTAAGGTTGTTATATCGCCATCTTCTTCAACTTTGATTGCATAGGGTAGATCGGACTCACATAACGCATACAAGTTACCCCCAAAAAACGCTAAACTGGTATTTGCTACACCAAAACCTTTGCTAAGATCATAATCTCCGGAAATAACTCGTGCAAGAAACAATGGACACGAGCAACAAAGGGGGTGAGACTTTCCATACCTCCAATAACATTTGGGACCAGATTGGATCTAGCTTGGTGCTCAAGGATATACTTGTTGGTCTTCACGTATCGGCTGCAGAAACTGGGTTGACCATCGGAGATCCTAATGCAGTGCATCATCCCATCCCCGTCAAGATAGTGCTGTGGACCACCGGAGATGAACTGCGGGTTAGGTCCGTTACGAATGTAGACACCATCGAGGCAAGGAGGAATGAAGCCATGTATGACCTCGCATTTGGTGGGGCTCAGCTCATCAACTGGTGCAAAATTGTCTGATAGTATGTAACTCGGGTCGACTGATAGATGAAGAGGACTATCGAGGAATTTGATGATGTAGCTATTAATTGTTTTAAATATCTTTTCGAGTAACGATAGCTCTGATGATGGTTTTCTTGAATCAACTAGAGCCCGAATAACTTGCAAAGATCTTTTGGATTCCACGATGGTAGGAATTTCTTGTTGGTTATGTAATTTTGGGGTTATTCTTATTGCATGCACCTCTTCATTGTTTCCAAGAACTGATGCCTTGAAAGCTGGTCGAGATTTTGCGATTTTGGTGGGAGAATGAAAATAAGGGTATGTATGAAATAACGAAGTCATGTATGTCGTGTGGGGCAATATTTCCATTCCTGCGATCATCAGTCATTGCCTGCTAAGTAAAACATAGATATCGTTACTTTCAATTTTAAGAAAAATTACTCTTTGTGAACGTGCCTACCATCATAATCCATCGGTTTGGGAATTATTAATTAAGTAGGGAGAGTGTTGCCATAGATGTCCAAATAAAAACATTTGATAACCGTTGATACCAAAAGGATTATATCTGTTAGAGTGCTCGGTATGGGCAACACCTTAGGGCTTTTTTGGGCGTTATAACACACAAACACCACCCCATTCACTGTTTTTGGGTGTTATACGTTTGTCGTTGCTTCCCATTACCGTAACCAGCTTACGTTGTTTCTTTGTGTTTACGAGCATCAAATGTAGTGTAGTCAGATTCAAATGTTTTTAAGCGTTTTGAACCACTATCGATATGTTTTTCGGATGTTTTGCCCTTTTCCTATTTTTGGTTATCATTCTCAAGATTCCAAAAGTCAATAGACTTGAAAGCCTTCTTGTTTTCTTTTTGGTACACGTTTAGAGCTTTCTTTAAAATTAATTCATCATTTTCTCCGTCTTTCCATTGACGTTGGATGTTGTTATACAAATCATTAAACAATATGATTTCCTTGTTTTTATTCCCCTATTTTGAATACACTTGGTCCATTGAACGATACTCTGGAAGGTTCAATCTTTTGTGGAACCTTTTCATAACTCGCTTCCAAAAATGGTATTGTTTTTTTGTAGTTTCCTGTTTTTACATCTTTAGAAATATCGATTCATGCTTGTGTCAATGCAATAATTTCTCCGGGTTCCTATTTTTTGGTTGTCGCCTTCTCTGTTCTTTTAGTTGGTGCTTTAATGGGTTACGTTTCTCGAACGATTTCAGGTTCAGAATCAAAAGTGGGTGCTTGAGTCTCTTGATTTCGGTTGAGACAGAAAGTCAAATGGATTAAACTCAGGTTCATATTGATGTTGTGTTTGTGTTTGCGATTGTGGTTGTGAGTATTCTTGTAGGAATTGTTGTGAGAATCGATGCAAATAATGTGATAGCATACCACCATAGTGATAAACCAGGGGCGGATAAATTAGTTGATCATACGAAGGTCTTTGGATTGTAGTGTTTATAGTGGAAGTTTTTTATTGTTTGGGTTGTTGGAAGAAAACATGTTGAAAGTTTTGACAAAAAAAGAATTTGAAAGAGAGAACAAATGGATGAAAGTGTGGCGAATTAAGAGTTGTAAGGATCTATTTATAGGTAAAAAATGAATTTAAAAAAAAATGACCGTTCAACGTTTTGGAAAAACAAAAAGTAAGAGAAAGGCGCAGCCAAATTCTACCGTATGCGTTCAAATTGCATTGGAAACCGTGGTATGAGGGGGTGTTCCACTTGGACATCGTTGCAAAAATGTGGTCTAACCACACCCACTCCGTTGGGTCTTATATCTCAAATGGATACAATCATATAAACTAGTACAATTAAACATATATTTCTAAATTCATGCATTAGGTGAGTCACATCCACCAAAATCCTCCAAATATCATTTGACAAATAGTTTGTTTATCTTTATATATTATAAAGTAAAAAAAAAAAAAAAAAAAAAAAAAAAAAAAAAAAAAAAAAAAGATAACTAAATATTAGGGTTTTTATTTTTTTTCTTTTTATTACAAACAATAGGTAACAAAAAAATAGATGTTTTTTGCCCTTCCATTACCTCGATGGCTTGTAGACAAAAAATTCCTTTCATAAAACCCAAAGGAAAGTTGTAGAGCATGAAGCAACACAAAACCAGTAATTTTTTGCATTTATATTTCCAGGTTTTTGGATCAGTCTGGGTCTAGTTTATGGAATCGGTTGCAATTATCATTTTCTAATTCCAACCGGTTTAATTAAGGGTGCAAATGAGCTGAGTTGAGCCAAAGCTTGGCCAGGCTCGATTTGGGCTCCTTTAAATTATACGAGGCTTGAGCTCGAGCTCGGTTCAATTCGAGCTTTCTTGTGCTGAGTTTGGCTTGAGCTCGTAAATAATTAAACAAACTCGAATCGGGCTCGGGCTTGACTTGTTTTTTGTTTGACATACCTAAATAAGTTTAAACTAGGCTTGAACTCGTTTATTAATACCCTAAATTCCTAATTCCTCAAATATGTTTTTATTTTAATATATAAAAATAATAATATATTATATTATATAAAAGTTCGTTTAGACTCACAACCCTAATCAAGCTTAGTGATATAGGCTCGAGCTCGAGCTCGTTTAATAAACGAGTTTAATATTAAACTCAAGCTCGGCTTGAGCTTGATTAAAATCGGTTTCGAGTCGAGTTTTTAACAAGCTAATCCCGATTAGCTCACGAGTAGTTTGACTTGTTTGCACCTCTAGGTTCAATGCCTACTTTACTCGATCCAATACCTGAAACCGAATCTGAATCGGTTATTCTATACCAATCTGATTTTCGGGTCTCCAAATCCTTCAATTTTGGTTTCTGGATTTTCTAGGACCGGGTCCAATCACACCGAATTCGGATCTATATCATTCCTCTTGGCAATCCATTTTAGTATGTTATGTTTATTGGAAAAAAAGATTACTAACATATCAAACTATATAATTATTTTATTTTATATTTAACAAAATTCATATTAGTAAATGTCTTTTTTTTTTAAATACATTTTTTACATTAGGTTTATCATATGTTTTATTTATATGTTAATAAAATGTGAATCAAATTTATGTTAAAACCCTTCTTTATTCATATATAAATAAACCATGTATATTTATAGTTTATTCACATGTGAATAAATAATGAGTTTTTCATAATTTTTTGATACACGTTTTACTAATATATGAATAAACATATACAAGAGCTAAAATAAAAAAAAATAATAAAATAATAATAAACTTTTCTATAAAAAAATTGCATCAATGACAATTTTTATATAGAATAAAAAAAATTAATTTTGATATAATCGGGTTTTTTCCAATAAAATAAAATTTCCGATATTAGTGATTCTTGCATACTTAGCCTTTTTTTATTCATTTTCACTAATTTATAACCCGTGGAAACCATGATTACTAAATTAATTAAACTTTCGTAGTAAAAATTTATACTTATTAATAAATTATTTTAATAACTAATTTTAAATAAATTATTAATTAAGAGATATACCAAAATTTTAAAATTATTTATAACTTCAAATTTAACATATAATTAAAAAAAATAAGTGTTTCTATAAAAAGTTTAAATTCTATTATTTAAAAAAATTATCGTCATTAATTATGATAGTGATTTGTCTAATATATTTTCCTGACATGTGCCATAATACTAATGAGAAGTTGTATTAAAGTGACAAATATCAAAAGAATATTAAAACTATTCTTTTATTAGTATAGATATTTGAGTAATCCTATATTAGGGTTGGTGGTGGAGTACAGGTGCATATATTGGCTTATAGCCGAAAGTTAAATGGTAAATCTATTATTCTTTTTTAACCATTGAAAATAGGTAGGAGATAGTAGAAATGCAAGATTTTGGAGTCAATATTGCATTGGATGTGTATTGTTTAAAGTTAGATAAGAAAGATTGTTTTGCATGGAAACAGATTCATACAGTGCAATTAAATGCTTGTAGGGGAACAATTCTTAGAAATGGAGTTGAAATAGAGAGATTCGTGGAAGCGTGCTTTTTATTCAATTACAGAAATTAAAATATCTCATAGGAGATGTTTAGATTAGTAATTAAGGCGTTAAGTGGTGTTAGGACTTGGAGTAACTAGGGGTGTTCACTATGAACGATATCCATGAGTTTATTGATGAGTACATTGTGGAGATAGGGAATGGCACCACTAGATGGAAACAATTTTTCCCAAGGTTAATATTTTTAGGTGGAGGGTTATGCTAGATTGGTTTTCTCCTAGACGGAATCTGAAGAGTTGGAGTATGTATGTCTCTTTTTTTTTATGTGTCTATAGTGCAGTAATCATGATGAGTCTTTGAATCATTTTTCAAAAAATGTGATATTGCAACAGGAACATGGAATGCAACTTCCAAGTAGGCGGATATAGTACAACATCTAAATTTGAATTTTTGGTGTTGTCACTTATCAATGGATAGATGATTTACATTTTTCTATGCAAAAGAAATCGGCTATGAAAGCAATTATATTGACTACATGGTGGTTGCTATAATAATTCCAAAACTCTATAGTGTTTAGAGAAAATATCGGAAGAAAAGATTTGATGTTTGATGATATAGTTGATAGTTTTATAATTGGTTTGTCAACAGAAATATAAAAATATCATTAATTAGGTCTTTTAGATTCAAAATCTAGCTATATTTCTATATTTCTTCTATTGTATGTAGCACCCGGTCTCAGGTACGCATTTAAATTCAAGTCAAACTTCATATTTTCCTCTTGGACTCGGGGAGTTAGGGGCTCAACTCGTCGAGTAGGATCCCCTCCGGGTCGGGGGATTAAGTAACCTACTCGACGAGTTGGAAGACAAAATCGGCGAGTAGGAGTTGTCTGAGGGAAACCCTAAATTAAAGGGTTTGCACCCTATTTAAACATCTTATGAGGCTTCCACCCCAGCCTCCATCACCTCCAGAGCATTACACCTGAAACCCTAATCCTCCATAAGTGAACTTGAGCTTTCCTGGTTGTTTTGAGTGTTATTTGTTGTGTCTTGAAGCTAGTGGAAGAAGTGGAAGATAGAAGACTCATTGAAGAAGGAGTAGATCCAGGAGCTACACCCCATTTGCCATCTAACCTGGTAATCAAGTTTACAAGTTGGTCTTCTTTCTCTTAGATCTACTTGTCCCTATATTAAGAGGGTTTTAGCTCAAAAACCTTGGTCCTTGATTTTGGGATGTCCCAAGTGGTTTATATATCAGATCTAGGTTCTAGGGAGTAGTACATGGCATAAAGATGCCAGCTTTATGGCCATGATAGCCCCATTCATCTTGTAGACCTCATTTTTTGGGTCTTTTGAGCTTAAAGTCCCATGTATGGATGCAAAGTTCATGACTTTA